AGACAAGAACTTCCCAATGGGTCACCTATCCTAGGATTGCTCTCGCCTAAACTCGCTTAACTTCGGAGTTCTGATGGAATCCAAAGCCAATGAGTTCCCAAAAGGCCTCATGTTATAGGGAGGGGAGCATGCACATATAAGGCACATCAACCCCTCTCCGTTGGCTGATGTGGGATGTTACAATCCACTCCCCTTAGGGGCCCGATGTCTTCGTCGGCATACTCGCACCACATGACAGAGTGGCTCTGATACCATTCTTGATAACCCTCTTGATTGTTAGTAAATTAGACTCCTTAGGACAACTTTGAAAGCAAGCACACACCCCAACTACAAAGGCAATATCCGGTCTACTTGCAGTCAAATAAAGTAGGCTTCCAGACATACTTCTATATAAAGTTTGATCAACATCCTTGCCACTAGAGTCCTTATGAATTTTGGCACACGTACTCATTGGTGATCTTGCAACCTTTGATCCTCCAAGACTAAATTTCTTCACTAGATTCTTAGTGTACTTAGCTTGAAAGATGAAAATGCCATCATTTTCTTGTTTGACTTGAAGTTCAAAAAAGTAGTTTAGTTCACCAACATGGCTCATTTTAAACTCACTGGTTATCATATCAATGAACTACTTTACAAGAGAATCAGAGGTGGATCCTACAACAATATCATCCACATATACTTGAGCAATCACAACATTAGATTTCTCCTTCTTCACAAAAAGTGTATTATCAACTAAGCCATGTGTATAACCATGAGCAAGAAGATGAGAGGACAATCTGACATACCAAGCATGTGGATCTTGTTTAAGACCATAAAGAGCCTTCCTCAGTTTGTACACCCCGTCTAGGTGTGGGGATCCTCGAAGCCCTTTGGTTGATCCACATAAACCTCTTTATTAAGATATCCATTAAGGAATGCGGTTTTGACATCCATTTGAAATAGTTTGAACTTTAAATGGCATGCAGTAGTACAAAGAAGTCTGACATATTCAAGATAAGCAACAGGAGTGAAGGTTTCATCAAAACCAACACCTTCAAGTTGAGAGTATCCTTGAGCAAAAAGTCTAGCCTTATTTCTAATCATATCTCATGACTCATCAGACTTGTTTTTGTAAATCCATTTAGTGCCAATAACATTGGTATTCGATTGATGACCAACAACCAGATTTCATTATTTTCAAACTGATTCAGCTCTTCCTGCATAGCCAAAATCCATTCCGTTAAGGCATCTTTAATATTTTGGGCTTAATTTAGGACACATAGCACACATTCGCAACTTCATCAACAATTTGCCTTCGAGTTCTAACACCTTTGTCAATAGGACCCACTATTTCATTATCTCGATGACTTCTAGCCATTTTGGCTTGTCCTTGAACATGCTATGGGAATCTTGGTCAGTATTAGATTCATTCTCTGTGTCACTTTTTCACAACTCATCTGACTCAATAGAGGCATCACCTTTATTCTTTAAGGGAGGAAAGAACAAATCAGCATTTTCAACATCAGGAGCAGGAGGAACAATGAAGTCATCAACTTTGACATTTATGGATTCTATTTGTTCGAAGATTGTAAACTCTATAGGCTCGACCTATGCTGGAGTAACCCAGAAAAATTCCTTCATCACTCTTTGTGTCAAACTTGGCTAGGTGTTCCCGATCTCTCAGAATATAGAAAACACTACCAAAAACTCTAAAGTACTTCACTATTGGCTTTTTACCTCTCCAGAGTTCATAGGGAGTCACATCAGTTCCTGGCCTAAGAAACACAAGATTTGAGATGTAGCATGCAGTGCTCATAGCTTTGGCCTAAAAGCAGTTTGCTAGATTCTTGTTATTCAACAAAACCTTAGTCATCTCAATCAGAACAAGATTTTTCCGTTAAGCAACCCTATTTTGTTGAGGAGTGATAGGAGCAGAGAATTCGTGTTTGGTGCCATAAGTAGAATAGAATTCATCAAATTGAGCATTCTCAAATTCGGTACCATGATCAGTTCTAATTCTGACAAGAGGAGGATGACTGGACAGAAATTCATTCATCCTTGCTTTATACACGGTGAGGAACTGTGGAAAAGTATCTGATTTTCCCCTCAAGAAACACACCCAAGTATACCTAAAGAAGTTATCCACAATTACAATATACTTATTCCCTCCAATAAACAATGTCTGGATTGGGCCAACGAGGTCCATATGCATCAATTATAGAGTATTGGAGGTTGCAATATCATTCAACCTTTTGTGAGCCACTTTGGTATGCTTTCCCAACTTACAAGGTCTACAAACATAATCAAACACTGAAAGATGAGGTAAACCCTTAACAGCTTATGAAGATCTTTGAAGTTAACATGGCCAAGTCATCTATGCCACAACACATTAGCATCATCAATTGCTTTGTTGCATTTGGAGGAATCGCCAACTTTTGAAGTATCTAGAATGTAACAATTGTCACCAGATCTTAGAAGAACCATAATATTATTTCCATGTTCATCCACAATTCCACACCCTTTCTTAGAGAAGCAAACTTCATCTACCACTTCATCGTATAGTTAACTAATGCTAATAAGACTTGACTTCAAACCTTCCACATAACTAATGTTCTTAAGCTGAGGTAGACCAGGAATATTTACAACCTTTATTGCAGTGATTTGAGACTTATCTCCACTACCAAAAACAACACTACCACTATTGAAAGGTGAAAGAGATAGGAAGACATCCTTATCCCTAGACATGTGATGAGAACACCCACTGTCAAGATACCACACATTTAGCTTGGAGGCAGAGAATGCATTGAGAACAACCAAAATCTTTCGAACAACAATTTTTTCATAAATAGGCTTCATTGGTTAACATTTCAACTTTCTTATAGAAAACCGAGAAAGTCTCATACTTGAGCATTCTCAAATCCTTAAATTTTGAAATGGTCATCTGGAGCTTTAGATCTCTCACTTGTTTCTCACCTTCATGAAGTATTCTGAGCTTGTCTTGAGTTTGAATGGCAATTGTGCAATAACGAACATGAGCAAACTGATTAGACGAAATGGCAGAAACAATAGCGTTCCTGGCTTTCCTATTTGCCATGGCAGAAGTAATTTTTCCTTGAGTCCATTCACCCTTAGGCTTAACCACTAATTCACCATTAACATTACTTGACGATGCCCTCCATTCTAGGGTAAGATAGTCAGCAGCAACTAAGTCTTAATCTTCCAAAAAGATTTGAAACTTTTCACTCCATGTAGCATAATTAGTTCCATAAAGTATGGACGAGAATTGTAAAAGGCAGCAAAACGTTCACGATCCATGGTGAGATTCCACCCAATACCAGTTACTCCCAGAAACCACTATAAGTATATCTAGAGCAAGGCTCTGATACCAATTGAAATTGGTACCAAGCGGAATATCCTGCAATTTGAAATTCGATATATGCTTGATTGACTAGTCAGTGTCACCAATCAACTAAGACCAGATTTATTAATTTACCAAAACCGAAAGTAAACAACTATACTTGGTTTACTAACCTAACTCTAGTTAACAAAGGTCTAGTTCAGTGTACATGTAAACTTTGTTAAACTTAGTTGACAACACATATCTATTTGTAAACCCTAGAGTCAATGTGTAACATGCAAATTAACAAGATATTTGAGCAAGAATAACAGTAATCAACAAAAGGAGTTTTTCGCCGGAAAAACCTAGAAAAAACCAAGAACTCACCACTAAGCCCAATCCATTAGTGTAAACAAAGGTTCACACAAAGCACAATTCCTAGAACCCTATCTATGAAGCAGCTTTACCTTTGTGCAACCTTGCCTTACACGAGATGAACTCATATAGTCTTCACGAAGTGGTAGCTCATTCTGAGCTCATTACCTTGTGGCATCAAGAACCAACACAACCAATGCAGATGATATAACAATGATGGTTATGTAAAATCTGGATTCAATGACCAGTCAATTTGTCCAGTCAAACGTTTAAAGGAAGAAACTGATGATAATCCTAAAACAGGTCTATATATGGATTTGAAACTTAATGCAAGACCATGAAAACAATGCAAACCTACTTCCTAATGATTGGTTTTTAATGCATGAAGAATGTTTGACAGTTATGGTTTCATATATGGAGAAGAGGCAAGCTCAAAGGTCTCAAAGCAACTCTCTCACTCTAAAATAAATTCTAAACCCAAAAAAAAAAAAAAACAAAAACCCTAGGGAACAGATCTACCCAAGGAAATCTAATTTTCATCAGCTAACTTATGCCTAGCACACTTGTCGGCTGCAAAAGAGATCTAGCCAGATCGATGGCCAGAAACTAACCACCAGGATAAAGGTGTCAGTCAGCCCATGTAGGCTATCTTAATTTGTGTGCCTATACAACTGGAAGTCAGCGTGCAAAACTGACTAGACAATCAAACTAGACATAATGCAACACGAATATAGATATGAAATAGACATACATGAATAAACCTTTTGAGGTGAAAAGTGCTACATCTTTAACTTTAATCCAGCAGCAACATCCTATAAACAGAGTATAGCCTAAAACTATATTAAGCATGTGTGTAGTTTAATTACAATATTTGACAAGGAAAGCCAAACGTAAAAGTCTTGACTTCACAACGACCATATGAGATTATTCAATGTGCATAGTATGTGGACATAATGTGCGTGTGTTGTGCATGTAATGCGCATGCGTTGTATACGGAGGGCGATTATCATTAATTTACTTCTGTAATGGTATTTCATGGTTTTATTTTTGAATTCTTACATACATAAGAAGTTAACTTTTTGTCATAGGAAGTTGCACCGTTTGAATGACTCTTTTTGTGATGGGAAGTTGCACCGTTTAAATGACCCTTATTCATCATCTATTTAAGTTATCTTGTGGGTTTATGTTGAAAATGATGAAGAAATGCCGCATCACCTCTTCCTCTATGCAATCTATTTTTGACAATGTTCTTCTCAAAATTCTCATCATTGTTGCTTCCCGCTCATTAAGGGACCTCTTTTCAGCGAAGATGCTATCGAAGAAGTTCAAGGAAATAGCTGATGACCCTTACATCTACCAACACATCAATATTATAGACTTTGAGACCGTCAACCCGCTTAGATCATGGTGCACATCTAACAAATTCTCAAACTTCATCAATCGTTGCATCCAGTGCCGCAACCCTGAGGCCCTCTACATGGTGGGGATACGATACTTCTTCCGAGACAATAAGGAAGAAGCCAGAATTCAGCGGCTTAAGAGTGCAATTTCGAAGGGCCATCAAGTAACAATGTACGTGTACGGTGTAATCTTGGTGTGCCATGGGTGGGATTCCAAGCATGAAGGGCTCAAACTTCTCTATTCTCTTAATTGTTCACAACTCGGGATAGTTGAGTGTAATGGAATGCCGAGAGAAGTTTCGGCAGTGTTTGTCGGGTTTTTAGGTGCATAGGGAAGTAAAGGCCCGAATCCTAAAACTTCACCACGACAACGCTGCCATCACTTGTAGCGATTGTGGAAGTCCACAGGGTCCAATCACACTCCGAACGCATTAGGATGTATATGATTATGAAAAATTCACTACATGTAATGCCTGTACATGGCATCAGGAAGTGAATATATTTTGTGATGTATTATGTGGTAGAGATAGGTACTAAGTATGTTTTTTAGTTCGTTTTATTTTGTTGTAATCGCAGCATTTAAATTCCAACCCAGCTTTTTATTTTCCTTTAGTCCTTCATGTATTACTAAATTCGTAATTCTATTGGACTTTATACTTTAAAATTTTTCTTCATACAAATACACAAACAAGAAGCTTTAAAAACTAGGTATAATTACAAAAACTAGCTCAAGGTGTCATCATTACCATGTCATCGATCTATCTTGCCGCCACTTTTTCCCACTCATCAATGCTTTGTCCATCTTTTTATTATTTTCTTTGGATATTGTGCATGAATGACTAACAAGCAAAGAAATGCACATTCCATGCACAGAACATGCACAACACATGCACAGTATACGCATATGTAGTGCATATGAAATGCACAGCATATGCACACAACATCTTCATGTCCCCTAAACGAACCCAAAATGTACAAATAATAGTCAATGACAGGTCCCATAGGTTTGGTGTGTGGTTGGGTTCTCGAGGGTTGTCTGAATTAAAAGTGATGATAGTTGGTTATTGTGCATGCATGGTTGGGTTGTAAAGTCTCAACCACCTCATCCAGTTGGTTATTATGCATACACAAACAAGAAGCTTAAAAAAAATAGGCATAATTAGGAAATTGTGATAATTAATTACGAAATTGTGCATGAATGACTTTTGAGTTGCATCAGAGGTGGTGTATTTATTCATGCTTGTCCAAGCAGAAACCACCTTATCTAGTTGCAGAACGATGAAGAAAGGCAGAATTATGAAGAAAGGCACAACAACCTCAACTTTCATAAAATCTTTTTCGGACAAGTTTCTTATGGAAATACTCACCACCAAGGTTACTTCTTGCTTCTTTCGTTCCTTATATTCAACAAACATGGTGTGTAAGAAGTTCAACCAACTCGCCGAACATGACCGCATCTTCAAACACATCAGCATTCAGAGATTTGAAAGGGTCAACTCACTGACTTCACAGAGGACACATAAAGAAGTGTACAAGCTTTTGGAACAGGTGCAGGGAGTGCAACAATCCTAAGGCCCTGTACACACAAGGGATGCGATGGGTCTTCCGATACAATAATTCTGAACTCGTAATTGAGTCTCTGAAGACGACGATTTCCAAGGGTCATCAAGCATCAACATACATATACAGTGCAATCTTGGTGTGGCCACCAGGGGGGTGAAAAAGAGAGAGGCCTCAACCTTCTACATTCTCTCAGAAATTGGTAAGTGTAATGAAATGTAGAGAAAAAGCTTGGCAGTTTTTTTGGTCAATTAGGGTGGATAGGGAAGTTAGAAGTAGAATAATAAAACTTCATGAGGACAATGTTGCCGCCAAAGCATGCAGCGATTGTGGAAGTGCACAAGGTCCTTTCACAGTCTAACCTATTGGGATTTCTGGTGCCATGACAAATTCAGTAGCTGCAATTCATGTAGATGGCATCAAGAAATGAACTTTTTTTGTGATATGTTAAATGTTTTTAATAGGGACTAGATTCGTTTCTTTTCCGTTACTTGTCTTCAAATTTAGTTCTCATGTATTTTTGTTAGTAAATGGAAAAGGGAAAAGTTTTTGGTAACATTAACAATGTTTGCTTTCTTAAATGAAAAGAAGCACAGCATAAAGCATGAACAAAGCATGCTTAAGTCTCCAAAACCCGATGTCATAGGTTCGAATCGTATAGGGCGTCTGATTTTGTGTCATTGTTAATTGCGTTATGTCAAAATTAGACTACAATAATTGAGCACAAACCCCAATTTGACCTCCTTTATGCATCTCGTGTGCATACAATGTATAGTTTTCTGAAAAAAAATTGAAGCCAAAGCCAAGAAACATTTGACCTTAGCCATAGAACCCAAGAACTCACAAAATATAGGTAAAGCCAAGAAACCCAGCAGCCATAAAACATATGAACCCAAAAATTAATACTCATAAATATTGCACTTTGAAATCAAAACCCATAAACAAACCTTTAAAAAATTAAAAAAAATTATTCCCCAAATATCGTAAAGAAACCCACATCACTCTTATTGGGCTTTAGCTCATGTTTTTTTTAATACATCGATATTTTTACACTAAGGGGAGGGGGAGCTTGGCTAAGCCACACAATGGGCAACCTAATTTGGTATCGAATTCGCCATCCACGAGATTCGAACCTAAGACCTCTCATTTCTAAGTGAAGAGTAATACCACCAGACCGTAATACTGAGTGGCTTGGCTCATGTTGATTCATCTAATCCCACCTGCGACCTTTATGAGAGCTTTGTTGGATGAATTATTATCCATTACACACCAAGCTTTTGGGATTGTGAGATGGGAATTGTCTTGCCACCCAAAAGTTAGATGTGATCTGAATCTTGGGTCACCAGTTCGAAAACAGAGAAAGGGGATGGGTGAAAGGACGGCTATTGATGAGAAAGAAAGGGTTGCTGCCTGGTGAGGTGGGTTGTTAAAGGGTGAGTGCATCGTTAGGGTTCTTTGACAGAAAGAGAGTAGAGAGAGAAATCAAAAAATGGGAGGAGATAACCTATTTACATATGAGGGTAATTAGGTCATTTCAAGGTGTAAGAAAATCCTATTTCTGTCCAGCAACTGTGCATGGTGCGTGCATGCTTTGTGCATATTCAAAAAATCTTATTTCTGTCCAAAGATTAAGAAAATGTCCCATTTTGGGGTATTTCCTAAATTTTCATTACAATTATTAATCAAATTCCCAACTTGAATTAAAGTGTAAATATGATTGGTGTGGCATTATTGGGTGTGTACAAATTTAGTGCACAAACTTGATGCACCTAGCATTATTCTAAAGACAATATCAAGGTATAGTAACATGGCAAACAATACTTGTTATTGTTAATCCAATATTCTAGGAGGGGGTGAATACTCAACCTCCAGATTTCCTTTATTGGACAAATTTCCATGAATTTGTGTGTTCCCTGCACCAGTGTTACAGTGTTTCACATCAGAAAAGATGCTAATACTGCAAAACATGAGTGCTAATGCCGGTTCTATGGTACAAGCTCGGAGAACATTTTCACTGTCAAAACATGAGTGCTTCTATTTAGCATGGGATTCAGACTTTCACGACCAAAATTTGGGTGAACGTTTCAACTTGAAATCATATAACACTCAACAGCAACGAAAACAATGGACCGGCGACCAAATGTAGAGTCTACAGAACGATAGGTTGTTCTCCCTCGAGTTCAGATATAACTATCAACGAATCTGTCAACTCAAGGGAGAGGGGTTCGGACTTGGGAACTGGATTGATAACCTGCACCGTGACATAAGATATGAATGAGATGTCTAAACCAATTTCAGAGCCGAATCAAATCAAGATGTTTTTACCTTCTTGTTGTTTTTCACATAACCTATTGCCACTTCTTTCCGCAGTTGTGCTCTTTCAGAAAGCTCAAAGAACGAAGGGTTCTCTCCGTCTTTAATATAGAGGCTGATATCCTGTTGGAACAAAAACAGGCAAAGTTTAAATATACAGTTTTAACGGATATCCAATCCAAATCCTGTAGCTGAAAATATAAAAAAGACAACGTCCAACCAGGATCAAAATCATAGCATATTAAAATTCAGGATTCAAGGTGCTTACCTTTACGTATATTTCATCACCCTCGGCATTAAGAATGTCTTTCCACACTTCATTTAGTTCACTGTTCTCAGCAACTGATAAGCACAATCAAATAATGACTTGTTATTTTGGAATTTGACCATTATATATGTGGTGAGAACTAAGTCTAGTACAATGATTCAATACCTTGGGCTGTTACGAGGCTCATTACTTCCTCTGAGGCAATGTAAGTCAGGGACGGCTTAATTCTCATGATCTGCAGGGATTTTGGAGTGTATAATAATGTTAATATGGAAAAATATTTGATAGAAAAATCATATTCATTGAGAAAAGTCTGCTGCATCGTACTTGTTTGCCCAAATTCGAGTCCACGATCTCTGCAACAAGATTCTGTACCTGCAGTACACCACTTTGTTACTTCCTTTGTCTGCTCTAGGTGACAACTATGACTAAGTTATTGTGAAAACTATTTAATTAATTAAACTCAGAGTTCGAAATTTTACAAAATTGGAAATGAGGTACTGATGTTTAAATGAACTTGACCTACCTTTACACCAAGTTTGTTGCAAATATTTTCGGCAAGAAGAAGAGAATACGCGGATTGCTTGTCTGCCCTGGTTGGATCTGAAGAGAGGGTACTTTAACACAATGCAACCAAAAGCTAATTTAAACTTCATAAAACCAAGAAAAGAGAAGGGAGGGAGGAATTCAAGTGTGTTCACCTCCGAGAAGCCATTCTCTATCGGATATTACAACCACCGACAAGGGAACATCTTCGTTCTTCAATGAATTATGGAAATGCTCTATGGTATCTTGTAAGGTTTCAAAGTTCAATGGATTTCCAATCTGCAGCACATTGAAAAAAATGGAAGTTTTAAAGGGCAAAAAAGGAAACTTCCAGAGAAAACTAGTATCGAGAAAGAAACGAAATCCATAATGACACCAGAAGGTTCCACTCTCTAGGTTGAAAGAGTGAGGCAGTACCCGATGAGAAACCTTGATGTGTTTGAGTTTTCCGTGTTCAGAAACTTGTCTCGTCTTCATTCTGTCCTCTAACGGTACATCTGACAGAATTTCCTGCATATATAAAACAATGATTCCTGGTTGTGAAGACAAAAAATTCTAGTATTGCTTAGTCTCTATCATGCTTCCTTAAGGTGAAGAAAATTGCAATAACATCCCAATTGATTTGTTGGCGATTTCGCCGCCTTC